GTTAGTTTGATTGAAGCCCCAGAGCGTAGAAAGAAAAGATTAATGGCTTTAACAGCGAGTGTGATGAGAGATGATAGTGATAAGGTGAAGACCATACCCTTTGATTTATTTATTTATTACTGTTTCATGTATGTAATGTATCTGGGCTTAAGACTTGTGCTAGATTAAATTGTTGAGTGAATCTCATTTGAATGGTTTTCTTGCCGGTTATGATTGCAGTTCCTTAATTGGTACTCTATTCTATTTTTAGAGTTGAAGATATATGTAAGGATGATTATTGGATTGGGCAACTGTGTAGTGATATCTGCAAATGGGTTTGGGTTTCTTGCCTATTTATATGGTAAACAAATGCTTCTTCGTTTGCTCATCTGTTTTGGAAAGTTTTCTAATTGTAAAGTTAGTGATCTTGCCCTTTAATTTTTGTTGCTAAGATCTCAACATATGACCTGCCCAGAGGCCACAACTCTATCAAAATCAATTACCTCTTGAACTGAGGCCCTAAGGTGAAATGTTGATTGTTGGCTCATACATGTGAAGATAATTATGACCATCTGTCTATTCGTATCACGAAATGTTTTATTGGATGGCCTTTCTGCATGGTTTTGATTTATTCAAGAACTTGCTCAACAAGAATTCTAGACTTTGCTATAGAGCTATAAAATAATCAACAACAACAGTATCTATGGTTTACCACTACTCACTTTTGATTTTCACTTATCCTAAAGGAGCCTTGAACTTTATGATTTACCGCAGGTTTTAATTCTTGGTCAGCCCGGGGAGGAGGTCAGCCTAGAGTTGATTCTACAAGTTGTTGCTGATGTTGGTCTGGTGGTAAGTGTTGTTTCTCACTTATTTTTTCATGTTTGTTTGCATATGCCAAGGCGGTTTACTATTTTAGTAATTGGATTTTTTGAATTCTCCACATTGTAGAAGATACAAGCAATAGATCGTGAACTGGAAATTTGTTTTATATGTTTTGTTGGATTACTGTGGCTTTGACCAACCTTGCTCTTAATTACTACATCATCATAATCTTCAGATCACCAGAGATGTTAACTTGCTTGTGTAGGGACTTCCAAATGCTGGAAAATCAACTCTTTTAGCATCCATTACACTTGTGAAGCCAGATATTGCTGATTATCCTTTCACAACATTGATGCCAAACCTTGGACGCCACAATGGTGAACCAACTTTAGGAGCAGGTATGCATTCATCTGAAGCAACATTGGCAGATTTGCCAGGCCTTATAGAAGGCGCTTATCTGGGGAAGGTGCTGTTTTTTCATATCTAATTCAACTATTTATCTATAGCTTCTAGTTGCTAAAACCGAATTTTTCATGTCCTTCAGGGTCTTGGTCGCAATTTCCTAAAGCACCTTAGAAGGACTCGTGTATTGGTCCATGTTGTTGATGCAGCTGCTGAGGACCCCAGTGGATGATTACAGAACTGTCAAAGAAGTATATCTTCCCTTTATGCTATATTATTCTTGGTTATATATTTATTTTGAAAAATAGCTCTCAGTTTCACGTGTACACAGATTTAGAAGTGCTTTTGCTGTTTTTGTGAGTTGAAATGACTTTGTTTGGTGAAATCCATGGGTATAGCTTGCCTATTTAAATAAAAAAAATAAACTTCAAGATCTCTACAAACAGCTTTAGGGAGTGAACCCAATTCAATTAGCTTTTTTAAGCATTGTAGTGCATTTCAATACTTTGAGAAAATACCATAGTTATTAAACACTGCCTGGTTAGTGGGTCGTCCAAGGGAGTCGCTTACATGGAGCCAAGCATAGGCCAGGTTTGCTTTTATATTGCTTGGGGAGTTGACTTGGGTTAACCCATGACTTAAGTGAACTGGTCAATATATATATAATCTAAAACTATGTCTTTCATTAAAAAAACCTAAAAGACCTGACCTGTGAACCAGCCCTTGGATTGTGCTAGGTCCTATAACCATGAAAATACAATAGTTTATTATCTGGGCATGCTTTTTACCTGTGTACAGTGTAGAGCTGTAAGCTTGCCATTTCTCCTTGCGAAGCAATTGAGATCACTCCCAAATCTTGCCAGGATGTGGAATGGACCTGATTCATGAAAATCCCAAAAGAAAACAGGGAAAAGAAAAGGAGGGGCTGCTATGCAATCTTACACAGCTGTTAGCTTTTATGAAGCTTTTGCTCATGGAATAGCTCATTAGATAACGAGGCTAATATAAGGCTGCAAGGCAAGCTTGTAAGCTTAAGCTGTACTTTAAGGGGTTAGACTTGCCTTTGGTAGTTTTTATGCATGATTCTTTACTTCCTCTTGGAAATGGGAAAGCTAAGAAGAAAGGAAGAGCACGTGAAACAACTTCCAATTCACCTCACCCCAAATTAGCAATGAGATAGATGCGGGACCAAATTCCCGGGAAAAAAACAGACTTTTATGCATAGGAGTTCATAGATTTGATGATAGTGATCCTCCTACCAGAGATGATCCTGCAAATTAACTAGATTTTTATTTGACTAGAAAATCCTAGACATGAATTATTGTCATCAGCTGTGCAGATCCAGGTTAACAAAGAAAAGTACAGAGAAAATTAGAGGAAAAGAAGGAAAAGGCTATGGTTTATACGTTGGAAGGACAGAATTCACAATGAACCAAGATGTTTCAATCTTCCTACAAGAGATTATCACACACATTACTAGGATACTTACTTGTCATGAAAATCCAAGGCCTGAATGAATTGCAAAAGGCAATATTTTAAGACATCATTGCTAACGGTAATTTATGATCAAAGTTTAGCATACTTAATCCTGTAAACCCAGCATTATAAGAAATCACATTCTTTACAATCATTAAGGTGCAGATTATCAAAGAAAACCATGGGGCAAGGTGAAGGTACAGTGCTACGATTTCCATACCATGTTAAAGATGGAAAAATGGTTAGCTAACAGAACACTAACGCCCACAACAGCAAGCGGACAAGGATAATCCTTTATATCTTGATCCCTTTTATCTTTATTAGTTATCTGAGGAGACAACTTATCTGTACTACCATCATCAGTGGACAATGAATGAACTGCATCTTTTAACACCATTTTTGGCTTAGAAGGTACCTCATCACAACCAATTCTCGATATTTCTTCAGTCAAAGATGGAAGCCTATTCCTTGCCTGAAAGAATAATTGATATATTAAAGCGAGAGTATAGGTCTTCTATATAAATACATGTAGATACTTGGAAAGGAAGATACTTGAAAACGAAGGGTTGAAGCTGCATGTGGACTTACTTCAGGCAGGTCAATCTTATTTAGCAACACTACATATGGTCTTTCAAGGTCCTCAAAATTGTACATTCCCAATTCCTATTTGTATGTAAAATAAATAAATAAAAAGTCTTTATTAATAAAAAACAATTTATTTTAATATATTAATATAAAAATAAATAATAAGTGTTTGTTAATTTAGAATTCAAAATAATTATGATTGTTTAATAATCAAATCAAATTCATGTAATGTTTTAATGATTATTGTGTAATTCAATTAATTTTTATTTATTAATAAATTAAAATACAGTCGTGTGTTAATTATTTAACAATATCATTAATATTCAACTTAATAAATTAAGATAATTGTTTTACCTAGATGAATACAAAGTTATTTTTTTGCGTTGCATATTTAAATTTAAGTAATTCTTTCTTTGTTTTTAACAAAAAAAAAATCTTATTCTCCTTAGTCACTTTTATCCTAATGAATTTTCTATAACAAACCTTACAGCAATTTCTAGTATCGAAGATATTATTAGCCTCTTGAAAAAAAATGATAGAAATAAAAAATAATAGTTTGAAGAGAGTTTTTTAAATTGATATATATATTTATTAAATTATTATAATTTATGTCGGCTGCAACTGCCATAACAGATAGAGTTTTTGCTACTATACATATTAAATTGTGGAATAAAATGATAGATAAACAAAAAAATTAACAATTTAATTATATACATTAAGATTAAGAAGGATATTTTTAATGAAATTGATAATGGAGTTGCTATGAAATGATTTTAAAATATAAAATTTTGAAGATAATAATTATAATGTAAGTTTTTTATTTTAAAAATATTTTTAAATTAATTTTATTTAATATAAATTAATATATATGTTTCAAATTGATTTCTTTATATAACATATATTTATATAATATCAAATACTCGTTATTAATTTACTCTCTCATTTAAAAATTCTTAACTTCACTGCTGTTTTTTTCTATACTATCAGGTAAAAAATAAAAGCTACCAATATACTAAATCGTTTATAAATCAATTAATCCACCGTCACCTTCCCCGCTCCAAACCTTTTATTTTTTTATGCTTGGCTGAACTTCTTACGACTATTTAAATTATTAAAGATTAAAAAAAAGTTTCACTATTCTTCTTGTTTCACATTGTCAAAACCCTTCACTCCTGGTATTACTCCTTGTTTTTTACTGTCATGAAATACTTGTTTGGCACTAATAAACGATGTGACCTTGTGAACAAACCCCATGTTCATTGGATTGGTCCATAAAGACTCCGCTTGTTTATGTCGTGTAATATGCATTTCTTTAATCTGAAAGCATTTGATTAATTAACACACCACAATTTTATCCTAATTTTTTCTCTAAAATCTTGATTAAAAAATTATAATTTATAGTTTTTTTAAACCTGCTTTTCATCATAATATCAAATACATCTTTAATTGAAGTTTATAATGCAGTGAAATAATTTATCTTGTTGATAATTGAGTATTATTGGGCCTCAAATAGTTGGAATATCGATTTATTATTTAATAACACAATTAAGACAATGGTTTCGCTTGGTTGGTATTATGGTCTAATTATATTTATAAAAATAATAATTTTTTATTTTTAATTAATTTTTTAATGTTTTTTATTTTAATTTGTTAATATGAAAAATAATCTTTTAAAAAAATATAAAAAATATATTATTTTAATATATTTTCAAACCAAAATTACTTTAAAAATTAATTTATACTATACTCTCAAATAAACCCAACAATAAGTTTAGATTTTCAGTTGGCTAAGCTTGACTAACTCCAAAATAATCTCATGCACCATCCCTCTTACAAAAGAATCACAGTCATAAACAATGTTAACACCTACCAACTATTCAATTGATATTATCATAGCTGAAATAAAAGTTAAATTTTTTAGATTTATGGAGCTCATGAATTTTTAAAATTTAATAATATATATTTTTTTAAATTATTTTAAAGCTATGTAATAAATAAATTATCATATACTTAAGTTTAAATAGTAAAAAGAAAAACCACCACTAAATTGGTGATTTAGGACAATTAAGGTTCTTTTGTCAAACTTGCAAACCAGATTGTTGACTCGACAAAGTTTAATAATCTAGTTTTTTTAAAATTATTTTTTATTTAATTAATTTTTTTAAAAAAAAATCATATTGTAATGTTGTGATGTTTTTATAATACTAGTCCGATACTGAGATTTTTTTTGATATCACAATAACCATATAAAAAATAAATTAAAATAAATTATCAATACTAAATCTTTATAAACACATCATATAAGCATAATTGTTAAACCCATTCCAGGAGTTGACCCGTTTAAAGGGTCGAGTTTTAGATTTTATGAATCAACCTGAATCAATTCATAAAACCCAGGTTATTTATGGGTTAGATAGTTAAAGACTTAAAGATAAGAAATGGAAAAGGAAGAAAATAATAAAAGGGTAAAGTGGGACTCAATTTGGTAGGGCATGGGCATGAGAGACGGTGATGTTATTGGTTGTTGGTTGTTTTGTGCAGAGATCTCTTGAGTCATGTTTGTTTATCAAAAAGTAATTTTTGAAAAATTATTTTTTCAGATTTTTCTATATTTATTTACTATCAGAAAAGTTGGTCAACGAAAAATACTTTTCAGTCAAACAAAGATTTGACTTGATTTTCAGAAAAATATTTTCCTGAAAAATTTAGGCGAAAAATACTTTCTAAAAGTTATGAAAAATTTAAAAATATTATATTATTTGCTGATTATATCAAATCTGGTCCTCAAACTTTTGACTGTTGTATATATTTTATCTTAAATATTTATTTTTCAATTTTATCTCTTAAAATTTAATTTTTATATTAATTTTGATCCTCATTTTTATAATTGTTATTTGCTTTTTTCTTATTATTTTTTTTATTAAAATTTTTATCTATCAAATTTGATTCTTATTTTTTTTTATTATTACTTATTTTATTTAAAATAATTTATGAAATATTAATTATTATTATTTTAATTTCTTTATCTTTTATTTTTTTTATTTTTTAGATTTGATCTCTATTATTTTGATTATTATTTATTTTATTTGAGACCTTTAAAATGCAGGGTCTCATTCAGGTTTGTCAAGGTTACCCGGGTCATGGGTTAACCCGTTGGATTAACCGGAGTTTTCTAAGTTATTATACCAATCGATCTTTTGACAAGCTCGAACTGGTCTATTCATCGAGTCGATCAGGTCCTAGATTAATCCGTCAAGTCAGTCCGAGTTTAATAACTATGCATATAAAAACTAAATCTTTTTAAAAAATAACCCAAAAAGAAAAAAAGATTAAAATAAAAAAAACACACCATGAATTATCAT